ATCTGGCGGTCTGGCGCGTTTTTTGTCGCCGTCGCTGCCCGTCGCCGCTGCTCCTAGGCCGAGGTGGCGGTCGCCGTGCTCGTTGTCGCCGTCGCCGCTGCCGCGTAATTAGATGGCGCCGAATAGTTCGCGCGGTATTTCTGTTTGGGAAAAATGATTCTGCCCCATCGGCCATCCTAAATGTGAGTTCGCACCATCCCAGCAAGGCCGGAGTTCGCCCCCCCGCCCCCCCATCCTCTGCCACAAGAATTATGCGCGCGCGCTCGTTTATCAAAAAGCATCAGTTTTCAAGAATCCCTTGTGGAAGAAGGAGACGAAGTGCACGCGCGCGCGTCGTCGCGCGCGCATGCCGGAAATCTCCGAAGACTCGAGGTGTCGCAAGGATTTCAGAATCGACCGTCATGAAAAACAGATCAACAGCACGCGGTTTAGCAACATGCGCCCGCGCTTTTGCGAATCTCTGTAAGAAACCAAAGGTTTTGCAACATTCCCATATAAACAACAAGTGCTACCAAACGGGCCCCTCGCGCGCGCGTCGAGATCGCTTGAAAGCCCTCGCGCGCGTGCTGTCGCAAGCATCCCTTGCGAATGAGGCGAAATGCACGCGCGCGCCCCGTCGCGCGCGCATGCCGAAATCTTTCAGACTAACATTCTAGGCGTCGCGAGGATTTGAAAACGAGCGCCCCAGAAACATATCAAAACCTTTGGTTTTTGCAATTTCATAGGTTCCAAGAATCCCGCGCCCGCGGTTGCGCGGATTCTTTCTTCGCGCGACCAAACGGGCCCCATCGCACTCGCGCGCCCCTGCGCGCGCGGCAGGGAGTCGCGCAATGCCACGCGGGCAACTCGCGCGTCGGCCGCGCGCGCATGTCGAACTCCTTTGAAAACCTTCATCACCGACGCGAGGACATCGTCATCGTCGTCGGCGGTCGCGATCAACATTGGCACCGCCGTTAGCCTTGCAGCCGTCGCCCCCGCCATCGCCACCACCATTGTTATTTTCATATTCGCGCCAATGCGCGTCGGCGTCGCCACGATGCCGCGCCAGCTCAAGTCGCCGTCTCGCACTGAAGTGCCCGCCGGGCAGTGCCCAGCGATCAGCTCCACCGCGGGCGCATCTGCCGCGCCAAACTCGCGGCCGCTGCGCGCGCGAGCATGCGCGGGCTAGCGCGGCCGCGGCGACGCGCCAGCCAACGCCAAGCAGTCGCCGCAATCGCCGCCGCATGGGTTTCGCCAACCAAGTTACGCTCGGAGGGTGGGACGTTTGCAAGGCATGGAATTTGTTCACTCATGCGTGACAATGAATTACGTCATGTAGGTTCTACCGCATTGGTTGCACTGCGTATGTTGCACCACATACGTATATAGATATATACACATACATATATATATATATATATATATATATATATACATACATATGTATACATATTGCACTGCGTAGGTTGGAACGCATAGATTGCGATTCTGCGGTCGCACAACATAATATCCCCTCTCTGAAAGGAAATTCGGTTCACCCCTTACAAGAATTGATCAAGCCCAGCTCGCGCATTGCAACTTGCAGCGCGCGGTTCTGCCGACACGTCATATACAAAAGCACCGACGCGTCAGAAGAAAAACGGGCTTCCCGAACACGTCAGATTCAAATGCACGCGGCTTTGCAGCGCCGGTTTTCAATGATCGCACGTTTGCGTTCGCGGTCCCGCGGGCGTTGAGGAAACCATTATGTTTGTTTCGGTGTACCCGCTTAAGTTTTGGCAAACGGGCTTCCCGCACCGCGCGTCGAACTCATGCGAGCGCCCTGGCGCGCGTGCCAGGGGGGGGGCCTGTCAACTAATGCCGCGCGGGCCACTCGCGCGCGTCGGCCGCGCGCGCATCAAACTCATGCAAATGCCCTCGTCGCCGACGCGGGGACGTCGTCATCGTTGTCGGCGGACGCGATCTACGTCGGCGCCGCGATTGGCGTCGCCGCCGTCGTCGCCACCATCGTCACCACCATTGCAATTCTCATCGTCGCGTCCACCCTCGTCGGCTTCGCCGTGATGCCGCGCCCGCCCTAGTCGCCGACTCGCACTGAAGTGTCCGCTGGGAAGGGCCCAGCGGTCAGCGCCGCCGCCGCGTCGGCAGCGCCGAACTATCTGGCCGCCGCGCGCGCGGGCTGGGGCGGCCGCAAAGATGCACCTGCCAACGCCAAGCACTCACCACAATCGCCGCTGCATGGGTTTTGCAAGCCAGGTTGCGGGTGGGCGGGTGGGATGATCGCGCGAGCGACGGAGTGGGCACTCCACTGCGAACGAAAAGCCGCTGCACCACATTGGTTGCAACACGCAGATTGCACCGCGCCTATCGCATTCCATATTTTGCAACAGTTGCATGGCCTTCTATTATAATGAGCATTATGATATACCCCCCCCCCCCCGCCCTCCAAAGTTGACCCGCCCCCTTTTCCCGATTGCAGCTTACGTGTGGTTCTGGCCCTTTCGCCCATCCGACATAGGAAACATTTCATCCCAGCCACGCCAGCAGCGCCCCCCCCCCCCCCCCCCCCACGTCACCCTCAGCCAAAAACGCGCGCACACTCGCTTATGCAAATCATACGTTTGCAAGAACCCTTGCAACAGAAATGGACGACACGCGCGCGTCGCCGCGCGCGAATATCGAAATTTGTTAACCTCAAACGGTTTCGCACGGATTGCAAATTCGGGTGTCACGAAACATATGAAAGCACCTGGTTGCTCAACGCGACGTTTCAATAAAAATGCGCCCGCGCTCTTGCGACGTTTTCTAGCCCTCATCGGATTTTCAACATTGTCACTCCATGCTACCAAGGGGCCCTCTCGTGCGCGCGTGTCGGAATCGTTCGAACGCCCTTGCGCGCGTGGTGTTGCAAAAACCCGTTGCGCAACACCTTCGCAAAGTGCACGCGCGCCCGTCGCCGCGCGCGCATGCGAAAGAAACATTGGGTCACATAAGGATGTTAAGGACGAGCGCCCCGACTTCATTTGAAACAGAAAACACATGGTTTTGCAACATCACTTTTCAAAACGGCCTGCGTGCGCGCTCCTGCGGAAATCATCACCACATGTTGCCAGACGGGCCTCTCGCGCCGCATATCGAAATCATACGAACGCCTTTGCGCGCGTGCGAATGGGGGGGCACGGTCAATGTCGAATAATACCACGTGGACCAGTCGCTCGCGTCGGCCTCGCGCGGATGCCGAACTCGTTCCCGAACCTTCATCATTGGCGCTGGGACATCGTCATCGTCACCGGCGGGCGTGATCAACATCGGCGCCGTCATTGGCTTTGTCGCCGTCATCGCCACCATCCTCACCATCACCGTTATTTCCAACATCGTGTCTACGGTTGTCGGCGTCGCCATGATACCGCGCCCGCCCAAGCCACCAGCTCGCGCTCCAGAGCCCGTTGGGACGTGCTTTGCGGTCAGCGCCACCGCGGCCGCGTCGCGCCAAACGAGCTGGCCGCTGCGCGCGCGAGCATGCGCGGGTTAGCGCGGCCGCAGGGACGCACCAACCAACGCCAATCATTCATCGCAATCGACGTCGCGTGGGTTTTGCAAACCAACTTGCGGGTGGGTGGGTGATCTGTTTGCTCGAGCAGCGGAGTTGACAATTCACCGCGATCATGGGTGACTTGTACCACGTAGACCACGCCGCATATGTTGCCCTGCAGGTACGCTACAGTACAGCGTTCGTGGTCCACGTTGGCTAGCACAGAATATAGAAAACCGAGCCATGTAGGAAATTCCAAGAGATGTTGGTCGGAAAGTAGAGAATACAGTGGAACGAGGGGGAGTAGAGAGGACGGGGAGTAGAGGGGGTGGAGGGGGAACGGGGGACGCTGAAGTCAGGAGAGGACATGTGGGAGGGAGGGAGAAGGGAAGAGAGATGGACGTGGCGATGAGACGGAGGAGCACGGGGGGAATCATGAAAGCGGCATGGCGATTATGGTGATGATGCCAGTGCCGATGCAGATGCCGATGCAGATGCCGATGGTGATCGGTGCCGATGCCGACGCTGGTGTCGATGGTGATGGTGATGATGACGATGCGATGGTGATACGAAGGTGACGCAGGTGATGGTGATGCTGATGATGAGGATGGTGATGATGGTGTTAGGGATGATGATGATGACGACGATGATGATGATGATGGTGATGATTATGATGATGATAATTGGGACGATGGTGATGGTGATGGTGATGGGGACGGTCATGGTGTTTGTCATGGCGATGATCACGACGACGATGTTGATCATGATGCTGATGATGGTGACGTTGATGATGGTGATGTTGATGGTGATGATGTTGATGGTTGTGGTATTGATGACCATAGTGATGGTGATGGTGATATCGTTGATAAAAGAGTGTGTGTAGATGACAATGCCGATTAAGCTGATGCTTATGCTTCTGGTGCTGCGGATGATCAACATGCTGCTATTGCTGATGGTAATAATGATTATGATGACGGTAATTTTGATGATGATGGTGATGATGATGATGATCATCATCATGGACATGATCATGATAATGATGATGCTCACCATTATCATGCTGATGATGGTGTTGGTGATGATGGTGCTGGTGGTGGTGATGCTGATGTTGGTGATGGGGCTGGTGGTGATTGTGATGGTGATGATGGGGGTGGTAGTAACGATGGTAATGGAGGTGATGAGCATGAGGATGAGGGTGAGGATGCGGATGATGATGATGATGATGATGATGATGATGATGATGATGCTGATGATGATGATGATGATGCTGATCATGATGCTGGCGATGATGAGGAGGAGGATGATGAGGATGATGAGGATGATGGTGATGATGATGGTGATGGTGATGGTGATGGTTATGGTGATGATGATGATGGTGATGGTGGTGGTGATGATGATGATGGTGATGGTGATGGTGATGGTGATGGTGACGGTGACGGTGATGGTGTCGGTGATGGTGATGGTATAATGGGGATGCCCCTCACCCGAGGCCGTCGGCGACGGCGAGGTGCGACTGCGGCTTCCGGGTGCGCCGGAGGCCGTGTGGCGCAGGTTCCCGCCGGCGCGGCCCCAGGCGGGGGCGCCAGAGGCGACGGGGGGCTCCGCGGGGAGGAATAGGAGGGAACAGGAGGAGGAGGAGGAGGAAGGACGAGCAGGAGGAGGGGAAGAGGAGGAGGAGGAGATAAGGAAGACCCAGGTCTCCGTCGACGCGTATTTTTCAGTCCTGGCGTTTCTCATCGATCTCGGTCTCGGCCTCCGGGGACCATGGATTATCAGAACTTGTTATTGGGCGAAGAGCTACCCCAGGGGAAGGTGTCGGGAGCCGAGGGAAGAGGAGGACGAGGAGGAGGTTTGAAGTGACATGGCGTGGGGGCGCCTTACCCCCATTGGTGGGACCAGAGGTCTTGTTCGCCACCTTTCATTGATCCTAAATATACCCTTACCCGGGGTCGGCCGGGGTGAAAAGGGCCGTCCGTTTGATTGGGCGTTTGCCAGTGCGCCCAATCAGCCTTCCGCGTGCGCGCTGTTTTAGCCTCCGCGCGTCAGGGCGCAACGGCACGCTAAACGGCTGGTTGTTCGATTGCAGCGACATGCCCTGGTTTGCGTCAGGGACGTCTGGGGGCATCGGGGGTGTCCGAGGGGTTTAGAACCTCATTGGAGTGGTGGTGCCTGTCCCATTTGGGGACAGGCACCACCACTCCGTTGCGTGTGGGCCTGCCCTCAGGAGCGTCGTTGCAATCTCGCGCTCCCCCGGGGGCCGCTGCGGCCGCATTCGGGGGCGCTCTCGGGGGCCGCGCGGGCGCCCGAGAACGACTTCGACCAGGCCAAACGCCACCTCGACTAGGTACGGGTACGTGTCCGGGGGTACCATCAATGCGCGTCGGCGATTGTGCCCCCCGACACGTACCCAGACCTAGCTGGGGTGACGCCAGGCGGGTTTTTCAGGGAGCGGCCCCTGGCGACCGCGCCTGGCGTTCGGTGCCCCAGGCGTTTGGGGGGAGCGCGGGATTGCAGCGGCGCCCGCCCAGGACGCCCAGGACGCATTTTGCGCGTCGAGCCCCCAACGCTTGATTGTGCGCCTTCGTGGGCGCACCTCCGAACGAGCTACCCTAGCCCGAGAGCGTCGAATGCGTGGTCGGCCACTCTGCCGATTGGAACGCGCGCGCGCCTTCGGTGCCAGCGGATGCCCAGAAGAGACAGCGTCCTGTAATGTTCCATGGGCAGTCGCATCTGCACTTGTGCAACCGCCGTCGGCTGCGTTGCGTCGTTCCCTCTGCCCCTTGCCACCCCGCCTGGGTAAAGGTACGGGTATCTTTCGCGTTCGAGAAGATTGGTGTATGTACTTCCCGAAAATATGACACGTTCTGCTTCGATTGCGACGGTTCAACTGGAACCTCGTGCCTGATGAGGTAATGCAGCCAGGGGGGGATACTTTCCGAAGGCCCCTTTTAGGCTCAAACCGAACCGTGGACATGACTGAGGAGATGCACCGAAGCTCTCCCGCCGAGGCTTCGCTTGGGCCTCGTTGGAACCCATTCGGATCTCTCCAGTGGGCTGGGGACCGACCGCCTCCATGATGTATTCCATCCGTGGTGGGGAGGAGGGGGGCGACACGACGAAAAGGAGGAGGAAAAGGAAGAACTTTGATAATGAAGGAGGGGGAGGAGGAAGAGGAGGAGGAACAAGAAGGAGGAGGAGCAGGAGGAGGAGGGGGGGATGGAGGGGAGGAGGAGGAGGAGGAGGAGGAAGAGAACGAGCACGAGGAGGAGGAGGAGGAGGAGGAGGACGAAGATGAGGAGTTGGGGGAGGGGGGGAGGAAACGTAGGAGGAGGAGGAGGAGGAAGAAGAAGAAGGAGGGGGAGGAGGACAAGTACCTTGGGGGGGGATGGGTTCAGTGTGGGACGCATCGGCCCCCAGTCGCCCGTGCTTCGCCGAGGGGGAGCCAGCAGCCCGCCCCGTGCGGTGATTCGTCGGCGATGTGTCGTCGATTCCAGGTGGACTTGAGTCGGGCCTGTCCATTTACAGGAGGTACAAAAAATATTCAAGCCATATTTTGGGGACGATTTGTCTTACTATTGCTGCATATGTTTGGGAATTGCCTTGGTGCTTTTATCCTCCGTCCCAAAGCCGCCTCTAGGGGGACACGCCCGACCTAAAGGTAGACGTTTCTGCCCCCTCTGGCGTTCCCCTTCGTTCCAGACGAAGGAGAAGGAGAAGGAGGATGAGGGAGGAGGAGGAGGAGGAGGAGGAGGAGGAGAAGGAGGAGGAGGAGGGGGAGATGGAGGAGGAGGAGGAGGAGGAGGAGAAGGAGGAGGAGGCGATGGGGGTCGTAGAGGGAGGTTCGAGGCTCGAGGCTCGAGGATTTGTCCCGGGGTCCGCTTCCTTTGGAGGAGCCTCGGGGAGATTTCTCGCCCCCGCGGCTGGATCCGCTCTGAGGTTCTGGCCGCCCCGTGTCGGGCCCACGGGCCGATTCATGACTCGCGATCACCCAAGCCCCTCAAGCGCCGTGAGAACAAACACGACGGAACATGCGCCCTAAAGCTGCAGAATCGGTGGGGGCCTTCATGACCGCACCCCCTGTTCCCAGCAAGGAGGAGAAGTCCTCACCTTCTGCGGCCGTCTTGGACAGTTGACGGGCTGGCCCAGGAGCAAGCAACCGAGGATGCGTCAGCACGTGTTGAGGGGGCAGAGCTGCATCAGACAATTAAGCTGCGACGATCTCCCCCTCGGAGGCCGGCGTGTTCAGCAGTAGCTCCACCGCCGTCGCACCGAGCTCCTGCCATCGCGGAAGTGCGTCACCGCGTCCACGCCGACGAATTGCGAGAACCCGCCGAAGTTCATCCAGACAAAAGGCATGCATGTGTTCCAGTTTGTCCCGAGCGGTTTCGGCAAGTTCACGATCGTCTTCAGACCATCCCGCCGCCGTCGAGGAAGAGAAAGACAGTCGTGCTCGCAATTGTCGGAAATCAATGCATGCAACATCAGGCGGTTGCCATTCATACGGGCACAACCCCAAACGTGCCCAATGATCGTCCAGATCCCAACGGAAGGCTAAGGATTCCAGGAAGGCCTTCAGCGACGTCCATCTGGGAAGTGAGGAGCTTTCTAAGTTGGTCGGCCGCATTTGCTTGGTAGCCACCAGCGCGTTAATCACAAGCGAATGTGCCAAGAGCTCGTCCTCGCCCAATTCGTACAACACTCGATTCGAGTACTCCGTGAGGGCATACAGTAATGTACCTCAAGACCACAAAACGGCTGGAATTAGAGAACCTTCCTCCGTGTTCGCCTTGACGCATCCCGCAAACAGCAATACAGCACCCTGCCAGAACAAAACGGAAAACAGCGTAGCCAAACCCTGAATGTCGTCCCTTTTCGCCAACCGGTTGAGCGTCTCTAAGACGAAGATGCCGCTCTGGTGCCAGGAGGAGGAGGAGGAGGAGGAGGAGGAGGAGGAGGAGGAGGAGGAGGAGGAGGAGGAGGAGGAGGCGGAGGAGGAGGAGATGGAGGAGGAGGAAGAGGAGGAGGAGGAGGTGGAGGTGTTAACATGCAAGCATGCGTGTGACAGGGGAGGAACAGTAACCCTGCTGCCTTTGGCTCAAGTGTTTAACGGTCGAAGCTGCATAGACCTGCTTTGCCGTTCGGGAGTATAAAGGTGACCTATCGTTATCATTGTCGCCAAGCTCCCGTGCAGAACCCTCCTCGGGGTTTTGCATGGTAGCGGAGCGCGGTTGCCATGGCAGCGGCAGCGGCAGCTGCGGCCAGACCTGGACAGGGCGACCCGCCAGTTAATCTCAATGTGCCGGCAGACAGAGATGCATGGGTCAACATGGACCCGAATCGATTCAACGATCTGTGCGAGCAAGCATACATGAACGGAGACTTCAGTTACGTTCAGACGGCGCTACTCGCGAACCACTTTGGGCTCGCAACGTTCATCAACGAGCGAGTAGCACAGGATCGAAGGGAGGTATCGAACGCCGAAGCATTCCAAATGTTACAGAGTGCCCACAAGACCAACAGTACGCTGTTAGCGATCACAAAGAGAAACGCTGCACTCGAAAGGGATGCTCGTAGATTGGTGGAAAGAGTCACCGAGTTGGAGACCAACAGTGAAGTACAAGAAAAGTTGATCGAAAGGTTTGGTCAGATCTCGGAAGCAATCAAAGGAGGAAGCGGAAACAAGCACGGGAGCAGTAAACCGATAAGCGAATATAAAGCATTACAGGCGCTAAAGAACTTCAGTGGGGAAAGAGCAAAGTTCAGAGACTGGAACGACAAATTCTTGAACGCACTAGCCCAAGTGAAGCCGAGTTACCGACCGGCACTGAAAATGCTAAACAAGAAGTTGGAAACGTTTGACGGAGTTGTGCCAGAGGAGGACGACGACGACATCATACGCATAATGAACGGTCGATTAACTGCAAGTAAGTACCTGAAGGCAAGTCAAGCCAAACAAGCCGAGGACGACAACAAAGGCGAATATGAGTTTACCGAGGGAGACAAAACTCAGATGGAAGAAGACTTATGGTACACTCTGAACGAGAAACTTGAAGGTGCGGAGGCCAGAGGAAAATTAAAGGGACTGATGGATGGAGATGGAATCATGGCTTGGCAAAAGGTTTACAAATGGTACTCGGCGGTAACCGGAGCGACCTTATCATCAAAAATGACGCATGCCATGAATCCTGAACCGCCCAAGAAGATCACTGACACTGTTACCCGACTTGAGGAATGGAGCGCAGTGGCAGAAAATCTTGAGAAATATGGCAAAGATTACTCGCTGCCTCTTCCTTTCAAAGTCACCGCGCTCAGGGCCATAATGGTGCACGCGAATGACTGGTTTGACGAATGGCAGCAGGCATGTTGGCGAACGCCTGACGCGCTTAACATTGACTCATTTCAGAAATTGTACTCAAAGTGCGAAGACTGGGCGCGTAAAAAGAAACTTGACTCAGATACGAAAAATAAGGATGCAATGGACATTGGGAATATCAACGAGATGAGTCAAGGGTCCGAAAATGTTTGGGGCCAAACAGGATGGGTCGACGAAGATGGAAACTGGTGGTCAGAGGATGGATCGTGGAATCA